ACACAGCGTCTCCCTGACATGGCTGCATCAACACTACTGCTGTTCCTGAAACCACGCCTTCTTTCTTTGCGTGCATATTTGGGCTGCATTATGCTAATATTTCCACATAGTGACGTAGACATGTGGGGGCGTGTTAGAACGATCCGTTTTAGGAGGGCGTGGTTGACTTAACTTTTATAAAGAATATCTCTTTGGATTTGAGACTTTAGTCTTTGCAACTTTACAGATCTTCTTTATGCAGCAAGAGCTTGTAACACTCCAAAGAGAAATTAAAACTTGAAATCGCATCATATGACCCCTTTAATCCAAAAACGTATTTTGAAATTAGGCAATCACCCTGACAACCTGAAATCATCTCCTGAGCTAATTTTAAAAATAATGCACTCAAAAGAAGCAGGTTTCTGCTTATTGGCAGACAGCTCATTTGATTACTGTCATTTGAATGTTAGATGAATGATGCAACTCATCATCGTGTGACTTGAAAGTCTGTCAAAACAATGCAGAAAATATTGCATTTACCCTACTGTATATCGCTTTCACACAACACTTTTTAAAATTTCTCAGAAATATCACTTTCTTTCTGAACAGTAAGTACGGACATCAGAAATAAAGCAGTAGGAATGATCAAATTATGCCTGTGCTTTCTAATTGTTCTTTAGGGAGACACATGGAATTAGAATTAGAGTTAAGACGATTTTTGATTATGATGAGCTTCTTCTTATTACAAGTGATGGTGACTTGTATAAAAAAAAAAAGTCCATAAACACATGGCATGTATACGGTACATATATTAGATATAGGGGTCAAAGACGAAAAAGGGTTTTCAAGCATCAAATCAATAAAAGCTGTTAGATTTTGCTGTAGTTGGCTGAGCAAAGGCTTGGGTGGCTAGCCAATGTATTAGATTTCTCTAATACATAAAATAAGTAAGCTTGACCAGAGTTCTCGTGGGGAGAAGAATTTTTTGAAGGCAGTAGTTCTTCAAAGAATCTTAACCCTTGTAAGAGTCCTAGCTGTGAGACAGAACTTTATACTGGTAACAAATGGCCTTCAAACAATAGACTGATACCATTAGGACCTCCTACTGGAGAGACAGGATAGAAGGGCCATCCTGTGTATTTGGTTTACACCTTTACAGATTACATCAGGAAAGAGTCACAAGGTGACATATCAGATGTTGATTAAACAAGAAAGAACTATACACAAATACACAAAATCCTTCAAATCATAATACAGCTTTAAATTTTGTCCGGTTTAATTTGACTTTTTCTGAGCAAAAAATTATAACTGTCATACATTTTACCATGACATACAGAAAAAAACATTCAGTGTAACAATAGTTCATATACTAAAAAATCTTGTCAGGTGTATTTAGAACAAGAATCATTAGATGACATTAAAAGACTCTGTTTAAGGATCACAGTGCTGCCCGCAAAAACTAATTCATTGTCAATTCAAATCTTTACCACTATCCATCAAACAATTAGGTTTTACCCATTTGTCAGCAAGAAGTTTTTAATCATTTAAACTATAATAAAATTTAGTATGATTATGTATTCTTTTATACACTTTATTAAGTACAGGTCAGAACAAGTATGTAGTATGTTTGATGCAGACACCAAAATGGGACGTCTTGTCTTTCACCCATAGACAGTCTTTAAAGTCTTTAAAATGTCTTTACTGTCAACTTAATGTATTCTTGCAGAATAAAAATAAATCTTACTGACTTCCAAACCTTTGAGTACAGTAGTGCATATTAAATATATACACATATTTAGAATTTTTGTATTTGTTGTACTATTTGCTTTCTGTTGATCTTGGTTGCTGACATCCAAGGCAAATTCTACTGTATCTCTGTGATGACAAATAAACTGATTTTGAACTACCTTATAAGCACTGAATTTGAATTTTAAACTCTCCTTAATTTACAAGAACCAACCAGCAGATGTCAGGCTTGGAGAATTTTAAAAAGTCCTTATTCAAAAACAAACATAAAAAAAAAACTTAAAGAACTTGCATTGACTGAGTATTTTAAATCTAGACTCTTATGATGAACAGAAATCTCACTTCCTATCTTACCTGTATCAGAGCTGCACGTCCAGAGTTTAACAGTGGAGTCAGAAGATGCTGAGGCCACCAGTAATTGAGAGGACAGAGACATGGCATCCACTGCACACACGGGCCCTGAGTGTCCCGAACACACTGCACATGCTGTGAACTGCAGCAGAAGATGGGACAAACTCAACTCGTTTTTTTTACTTTTGTGAATATCCATTTAGACAGATTTACAGATCACAGATTTGAAGTCCATAACTGACAAAGCTGGGTCATTCCTGTTCTACGGTTCTTTTGGGTTTTTTTTATCATGCTGCAGAATTCATTTTATCAAACAGGATGATTTGACAAACAGTGTGACCATTCCATTCCAAATCTATTGCTAAAACCGCTTGCGCTGTTGTTTTCCCACCAGAAATAATGAGGATTATGCCATTGAGGATCTGGGCAAATTGCAACAAACCTATTAAGTTAAGAAATCAATTAGTTACAAATATGTGTAACTGTGACAATTAGTTACATCACGTTATAATTGTAAGAATGTTATCACAAAGAGCTTTCTTAACATAAGGGATTTGTCACAACTGGTTGCTATTCAAAAGACATTCCAAAAGATGGAAAGGGATATTGAAACCCGGTGGAAACCAGTTATTATTTATTTTTTTTTAAAGGCAGCTTGAAATTCACCTTTAAGTTTATGTTAAAAACAAATCTTTAAAAGCTGTTGATTTATTATTTAATATTTTATCCAATGTGTATTGCATAACAGAAACGACCCAATTATGTTGTCAGCATGTGTTCATATTTACTGTTGTTATTGTACACACATACCTTCCCATCCCGCTTCTCCCAGACAATAACATGATTATCTGACCCACCAGATACCAGGCGGTGGATGTTGACATGGAAGACAGTGAAAAGAAAGCCCCATCAGTGATCGATCGTTATTTCACCCGCTGGTATAGAACTGGTAATATGTTCTGATCAGTATTGTTTGTTCTTACTTTAACTCAATGCATATTCAGATTAGCGTTTTTTAAATATATACATTTTTAAGATTAATTGACTGATTGATTAATGAGATTGATTGGTTTGGTGTAAATGCTGATGTAGATCTAAAGGGAAAGTCATGTGAGGATCACTGCATTCTACAGCACTCCAACAGGTAGATATATTATATTCTCTATCTATATATTCGTATTACTGTGTAATTTTTTAAGTGTTTCTTCAACTACGTACATTTTTGCAAGGTCAACTTATTTAAATTAGCAGACAGCAACGTTTTTCTTTTTACATGAATATCACTATATTAGAAACTTTTGTATTTTTTTCTACACTTTTTATGTCTGCATTTTATGTCTACATTTTAATCCGAACATAAATCCCAGATCCATACTTTCAATCTTAAAATCTTAAATACTATAAAGATACTACTACACATTTTAAACCACTATTATCTAAACCAGTCATGTGTATTTATTTTATGAAATGTTTTTTATACATTTTTACAGCTGCTACACAATTGTACACAGTCAGCTGAATACATAATCTGAGCTGTAGATTGAAATGACACCATGTTGCAAATGTTCATGATGTCCGTATTTCCACTGTTCTTTATTTTCTGAAAGTCCACAGGGTCAAAAGTGTTAATAGTTGGAGAACGCCCCTCTATACTCATCTCTAAACTGTTTTCTTCTTATAAGGATATGCGTCATTACACTTGCGGAGTCTCATCCTATCCTTCAGAACGGACGAAAAATCAAAAACATAAACTACCAGATCAGTGATGGATGCAGCCGTCTGAAGAACAAGGTGTCTGGAAAGTCAAAGCGAGTGAGTACTTTTGCCTTGAATGATTTTCACACTGTCAGTGCATCAATCAATACACTAATAATTGTGATTAATTACTTGTATATCTTGATTCACACTTTCCCTGAACATCATCAGTAAGGATAATTTATTCTGTAGGGTGGTCAGTTCCTGACAGAGTTTGCGCCACTGTGTAGAATAACGTGCACAGATGAACAGGAGTACACTATATTCAGGTCAGTTACACAGACTGCCACTGGATATACATAACATTCAGTTTCTATAATCTTAAAATTGTCAATTCAACCCATATTTCCCCAGCTGTATCAGAGGACGTCTCCTCGAAGTAAATGAAGACATTCTGAACAAGCCAGATCTGTTATTAGAAAAGGTGACTTACAGTACAGCTTAAAAAATAAAATGGAAAATCTCCTTTCAACCTTTTCCAAATTTAAGACCACATGTGTGAATTGTGCGTTCTTTTTTTTTTTGGCACAGCCTTCCACAGAGGGATACATTGCAGTTATATTACCTAAATTTGAAGAGAGTAAGAGTGTCACTGAAGGCCTTCTGACCAGAGAACAATACGAGGAGGTTCTCACGAAAAGAAACCAACAAGAAGAGCCTTGCTGAGATCAACCTGCACTTTGAAGCTGCTGACTGACTGACTGCGGAGTCTCTTTTGAAGAATAATTGCTTCAAGCAGGTGAAAACGTCACTGGCATCATGGCTGTGTGCCACTTACATAAAAAAAAAAAAACATCTTGAGAAAATGACGACTTGTCTGCTGGATCCAGAACAGTCTTGGATTTCACTGGAGTGCATTTTGTTTGACCACTATTCATGAGATACATAATGCCAGTGTCATGGGTATTGTTTAGTGTTTAGTTTATCGTTTCATTAAAACTGTTTTAATTTGAGAATTAGCAGGTCCGTGTCCTCGCAGACACATTATTTCCTTTCCGGTTGCTGTAAAACTGCTTATAGCCCTAACTTTTTGGAGATCATTATAGTTTGAGTAAATGCTAAATAAAGGAACAGCTCCCTTCTGAGCATTTTCAACTGGCTCTTATGTTAGTTATGTTTTTATTCAGTCAATTTATTTGACACAAACTAAGGTCAGTGCTCTCAAAACAATTAACTGCCATCTGAACATTTTGTCATTTTTCCAAACAGATTGCACAGATAACAAATGACAAATATTTTCATATACATAACGTTTAAAAAATTTTTTTTTTAAACTTACACCACTGTGTATGCAAGTTTTGGGTCAGTATGTAAACGTGTATTTTCAATATAGCTGAACATATAACCGACAGAAAACATTTCAATAGTCTTGATGTTAGTATGTGCTTTTAATAAATGTGTTGATTGAAGACAATATGTCGTTAGTTTGGAGAAATGTGTAAAACTGAATAAGCATGTCAAGTTTTGTGCATAAATAAATCACTCGGACATAATTATTTTAAGAAAAATAATGTATATTTAGATTTCATTTGATCTGATTTCACAATCATTCAATGGTCCAACTCCAACACTAATACAACTTTAGGTCATAGCTGCACAATCATCTCTAAAGCTTATGGTTTGACTGACTGTAGTATAAATCAGAGGAACATTTTGGCAAAGTATCAACTAGAATTGGTGTGTGAATGGAAACCCAATTCTGAAGAGCCTTTTAATCTGTGCCATACTAAAAAGTTGCTCTTCAGTACACGACATCTTAAACTATTGATTTATATACCGCTTTACTCTAACCTTTTAGGTTAATGTACCAAAGCTTGACTTACATTGTTATGACTGAAGTAAAAATACAAATCACAGTGACCTACAAGGCAGTCAATACTATTACAAGGCTGTCACTCCTACGAAAGTACATTTAAAGAGACAGTTTGCCCGAAAATGAAAATCCTGTCATTAATTACTTGCCCTCGTGTCATTCCAAAACTGTATGATCTTCTATGGAACATAAAAGATGCTGTTTTGAAATAAGTTTCAACTATTTTGTCAATACAATGAAAGTCAGTGGGGTCTACAACAACAAAGGAGTTTTTTGAGACTTCAAAATCACTTGATTTTGTGTTTCACAGAAGTCATACTGGCTTGGAATGACATGAGGGTAAGCAAACGATAACAGAATTTTCATTTTTGGGTGAACTATCCCTTTAAAAGGAACCGTCTTTTTCATTATCGTCCTTCAGAAATGCCTCTTTGGAAAGTAACATTCCCTGCTGTAAACTCTCAAACAGAATCAAGATGCTGATTTCTCATACTAATATCCAAAGTCACTGAATTTCCTTCAGCATTGAGCAGACTGCCCTGTGGCAAGACCAGTGTAGAAAGATACATGGATATGAAGATGGATATATTTGGCATTGTACACGAGGCAGTTTTGTTAAATACAGTGTGCAGAGTTTTTTTTTTTGTATCAAAACTTTTATCATGTACACCTCAATGTTGGCTAATCACGAGAAACGCAGCTGAATATTGTTTCGGTTAAAACCGTAGCTTATTTACCAGCCATTACACTTGAAAGAGTCTCATAATGACTTGAACACATGCAATCAATGAAGGGTTTTTTCGTCAATATTTTTTGGTGTCTGGAATGCGGCTGGTAATGCTAACGCTATTGTACACCACAAAGCGAATGGGCAGAAGCACAAAGAATGGCACGTTGTGAGCGAGTGCATTGCACTGTGTGTGTGAGAACAGGCAGAAGCGCTATTTGCTCTCCAGGAATGTTAGACTGGCCATGTGCTGCTCAAGGGATTTGACCCCAAAGCCGTTGGAGCCTTTGCCATTCAGAGTTTCCTCGCTGACGGTCGTGTTCAGCTGCTTCTCCCTCCAGTGCTGAGGTGAAGCCACACAGCTGCGTTCTGATTTACACTGGAATTAAAGGTAGAAGATAGAGTTTAATATAAACATGCTCTAAAGTTTGATCATGCACATTTTTTAATTGATGGAACAGAACATAAATCACACCAGAACATTGATTAAATAATAAGTTAGGATGCACAATATATCAGTTAAAAAGAAACATTTATTTAGAGCTTTTTAAATTGATTATTAACATTCAATATTGTAACACAATTTAATCAGCTAGAATTTTAATAACAGTGCATCCGTAACAATGACATAATAGCATAACACTGTGTCCTAACCAGTGTTATTTTAACATGGAGATACTATTATTTTTATTTTACTACATTTTTTTAAATTCATATTTAAATTAGTTTTTGTTTATATATTTTCTGTTTTCATTTTAATTTTGGTTCAAATTTGAGGAATTTTGTTGTTTGTCATTTTTATTTTATTTTTATTTCTATATACTTTTTGTTCATTTTATTTCAGTTGTTTTAAGTTGAGTTATTTTAGTATATCAAGTTAAATTAAATGAGAAATGAGAAATGTGACAACTGAAATATAAGCTGAAATAAAACATGTTAAAGTTTTGTATATTTTATTTTCAGCATCTAAAGTTTTTTTTGTGGCTTTAGTTTAACAAAGTTAACTATAGTAACCCTGGTCCTTATCACAATGCGATCCTTTACATGTAAATCTGAAATTTTGTCCTAACCAGCCACAACTGATAATAAAATTCAGGCTGATACTGATAAGCTGATGATTATTGTCTCAATGGCAAGCTGATAATTATTGTCTCATTATAATGTACAGTATGAAAAATGGATATTCCTTTTGAGATTTGCTAACACTGACATTTAAAAATGTTATCAAATCATTATATAGTTTTTAAAGATTAAGTAAGTGTTAGATGACGGCTTGAATGTAATCTAAATATAAAAATACAGCTAATGAGCAAACACAATTAAATATATAACATCAACCGTTATGGATCAAATAAAAAAGTTAATCTAGATCGTCATGTTGCTACCTACCTTTCTGATGAGCTTATTACAGATGGGCAGTAAATAGACCACCACTGTCAAGATGCCTTTTGTATTCTGTATGGATGAGTCAACCTGAACGAGACAAGAAAAACAGATGGATCATTAGCTGACCAAACTACCCAAAATACCGTTCTGTTAACAAGTACACCTTGTGGCTGCTTGTTTGGGCCCACATTTCAGTCAAGCTATCATTTTGCAGCGACAACAATCTATACATTATATACTATACATAACAAACTGGTTCACATATAATTGGTTGTGAAATAATACGCGAGGGCTCCAGAAGACAAGCTGGGAGATCCTGATTAAGCTTGTTTTTCCAGAGCTTATTTTCTTGGTTCCACAGCACGACACGAACATAGCCTCTATAAACCTATTTAAACCTGCCTCTGGCTGTGACCTTTGCTTTATCAAAACAGAAGGATGACCCTGGACAGCATGCCATTTTATCAGGTTAAATGGAGTCAGGAAATAGAGTGAGGTCAGCGTCTTTGCAGGAGCAACAGATCTATTATCTAATCACATGTGGCAGTAACCTGTGACTAAATTCAGATGAATCTATATCATTTGAATCCTCAGATTCTAAATTATGAATTAAAGTGCATTACTGGATTAAACTGTCAAGTCAAACAGACAAAAACCCTACTCATGTCTTATCTGCTCCATTCACTGATGTACAAGAAGAGTCTGTAGCTGTTATACTGCATTACCTTCTGAAAGATGGCACTCTTGCCCTGAACCGGAGTCTTGGCACAGACCTGCAGCTGTTGACATGCGTCTGACAGCTTCTCCGTCTCAGATAGAATAAGGATTCTGTCTTCATCCAGCAGCTATAACAGACACAACATGTGGCCTTAGCATTTAAAGCAGAACACTTGAGAGACGAGAACTCTAAACAAACTGTAACACAGCAGCTCTTTTGCTTGAAGACTCGTTTTCTACATTAGACATCATTTTTTATTATGTTCTTTAAAAATGGAGAAGTATAAACATGACATAGGCTGAATAGGACCACTTGACAATTTTGTTTAATTCAAGGAAAACAAGCTGATAGACTGGAAGTGGCTTTATTTTGCTTCAAAAGTTAGTTTTTCATTATATACCTATATATCAAATGTTTCTTAAGCAGCAAAAGCTGTTTTCAACATTGATAATAATAAGACAAGTTTCTTGAGCACTAAATCAGCATATGCTTTCATCTGACAATGAAGACTGAATTAATGATGCCGAAAATTCAGATTTGCCATCACAGGAATAAATTACAAATTATTACAAATAAATGATTGTAATAAATTACAAATTACAAAATAGAAAACAGTTATTTTTAACCTGAAATTACTGTGAGAATAAAATATTTATTTTAAAAAAACAAAAAAAATCATAAATTACAGAATATATATATATATATATTATACATACACATACACATACACACACACACACACACACACACACACACACACACTATTATATTGTGGCATTTTGTTTTTTTATGCACATAGCATTGCTTTCCTTTCTACGATCCTTTCAGGACTTCCTGTGGCAAGGACAAATTTAACAATCTAATAGCCCTAATTGAGACTTTCACGCAAAACTACATTACAGGTTTGCCAAAGTGAGGTAATTGCTGAATTTGAACTGATGGATAAATAAATGGACGTAAGCAATTTGATTTAGCTGTACTCTGCTTACAGCTGGGGAAATGCATTGTGGGTCAGGCATGTTTGAGATTATTAATCAAACTGTGCAGTGTACCACAAGTGTCAGGCTCTGTGATTATGGATGAGTGGCCCCTGTCCGCCCCAGCCGGAGCAGGGTTAAGTAACACTGATCCACGTCTCTGTGGTCCCAATAAGATGGATGGCAGTCATTACAGTCCTTTATTTACAGGCGTCTAATTAAACTGTGGTACATAAGGGCCTGGTGGGCATGTGGGTGCGTTACCTGTGTGGAGAGAGAGTGGAGGATGTGGCACAGCTGGAGACCTTGGTCTGACAACACCTAGAAAACATTATATAATGTAAGGCCTTACTCTGTACCAGAGTAAATGTTACACAATTTTAATTTAGCAGGGTTATGAAATATAGTGATTAAAATCACACAACTAGTTTAAGGTGCATCAAGATTTTTTTTGCATTAAAGTAAATTGCCTAAAATGGATGAGTTTTTGCTTTGTTTCCCTATTGTTTTCAAGACTGCTGAAGGTAATGGCTGAAGTAGTTTGACCAATAGCGTGCAGTCCTTCTGGGCGTGTGAGAAGGTGGGATCTACAGAGAACGGTCAGAGCAATGCAAATACACGTACACATAATATGTGAAGCCTATAG